TGAAGAGCTTCCGCCAGGGCCATGCCCTTTCTCGTAATTGTTCAAATGTTCCAAGTGCCTGTTCGCATTTTTTCGATTCGTTTTTGGCATGTCAATCTCTCCACTTGTGACTGCCATCATCGCAAGAACTGGTACCCTTGCTCATTTCTCACAGCCACCGGGATTTGCTGCTGCGTGTCGCCTGTGGGGAACGCCCAGAATTCTTTCTAGAGTAAAGTTGACTCATCATATTGGGCTTTGGCATTGACTTTTACTACCGTCTGCCTGCCTGACGCCAAACTGTGTTTCTCAACAGGGACTGAAACCGGCTACAGCTCGCTGAGTTTGCTAGCATGCTTATTTGATGGCTGCGTGTACTTGCCATGTCACTACGCTGACAGCGGTCCTTGTGATATTTTCTACAACCAACTTTACGAGAAGTTGGTCCGCAGTACCCTCCTAGCACTTTCGTCACATTTTCCCCGACTGCTTATTCGCCGATTTCTTGGCTTTTTTCAAAAGTAAGTCCTCATATCTAAAGGTTGTCCCCGTTTAAATGTGCGAAACTACTATTGGATCGAAAACAGAGCTGATACTGAAGACTATATTTGGTGTTTTCAAGTGGATCTTCATCCCGATGCTCACCGACGTTGATAATTGACGGACCATGACTGAAAAATTTCGGTAACGGACGGAAGCACCTGAAATGGGCTTTCCTAGACAAACCGCTAGACTGGCGCATCTGCACATAATCATCTCATATAGATTTATGAGAGGCATTTTTATACAATTGCTGTTTCTCTAGATTCGGAATTCCTAGCTTCTGTGGTTTGTGTACGTTCTTCGAATACTTCCAAAAAGGAATGCAAAACAGCTACTGCTTTATCCACTGACATACAGGCGCAGGGCACCGGGGACGGATTTAGAATGGCCTGGAACAAGTGTATGGAAGGATTGTGCTCCATATTGGAGTTATCTTTTGCCGAAGCTCAAACGCTGGCGCAACATCCGGAACATAGGATACATTGTGTGACTAGTCTGCCGTTTGGACCCGAAAGGATAAGCGGTGAAAGAAGCTGATTGAAAGACTGAAAATTAAAGTAATTGTTCTTCTCAACTAGCGGTGAAACTTGCTAGAAACAAGCATGTTGATCGGTAGAAATTTCTTGAAGAACAACGATACGTCTAAAGTGATCTCTCAGATCTGGTTTCGGAGTCATTATTCGTTATTTGACGTACTTCGAAGGACGAACGTGAGCCATTCAGCTTTCGTGACGAGAAGTGCAAACGATGTCGAATCCACCGGCGAGCTTGAATATGCGTTTTTATGGTCCGAAATAATCATTATTGTCATTGGTTTTGCGGAGAGATTTTGTCTGCTTGGTGCGGGGGCGGGGCGGGTGACCGAAAGCTGACGAGCGCCAATCCGACCTCATTCTACCTCTATTACCCTCAGATAATACGCGTACTTTACGCTTGCCTGTTGTTCATGATAGAAATCACGCTGACGACTGTCGTGTGTCATAACGGTCATTAGGCGTCACTCACTGAGGAGTAACGTTCGAACGATCGGCATGTCGAAAATAAGGACTGATATCCGTCAGCAACGATTTTGACTAGCAGAATATATTTTCTACAAATGATTAAAATTAAACCTCATGTCTGCCTGACGAACTTTATTTCTATGCCACATTGTCATTACCAATAATTTGTCAGTAAGTGCATAATAATCTGTAATTCCGGGTATGTGCACGCTCCTCTGATTTCCTTATGGTGATCGGTGAATGCAGTGTATAATATCCGTGATGTACAGACAAACAAATGACAGGGCCTCTTGAGGTCTATGGCACGGTTGAAGTAGTAATTACTTCATAATTGGACACGGCATATTTCACTGCCCCATGCTCCTAGTTGCTCAAGGCCGATGGGAGTGTGTGAATTTCAATAGACCACCACTCCGTCGTATTTGAGTACCGGTAGTTTACTGAATGCATGCGGCATCGCTTTGTTCCCTAGGGCTACGATGTTTTAGAAGCTAGTAGTACTCTTCCTGTACTACCGTATAAATAAGAGAATGTGTTAGTACGCAAGAATACGTCAGATGCCGGGTAAGTTATCCCACTCATACTGTAATGCTTATATTGTAAAACACGCTTTATTATGAAAAAATTCTTGACTACCTGGCGCGTATCTCAAATTTTATCTCCTTAGTTCGAAACGATATCAATTTCCTGATATTACGCATATTTGCATCTTCATTATATTACTATACTAATGAGATGTTGCGTTATTGGGCAGGTAAAGCGAGTAAATTAATATTTTTGTTTTTAAACTTCAGTGACTGGCTGTTGCTGCAAAATAAATAAAATAACTTGAATATTAGTTTTTTGATACTGCTGCATGACGACCGCATTTCAATACCAAACGGGCATGGCTAATGGTAGTGAGCAAATGTTGCTTTGTTTCAGCTTGTTAGAATATCGAATCAACCACTTCTTGTTGACTGAGGTCGCCAAGCTTAAAAAAGTTTTAAAGTGTTCAATAGATCGACGTCGGTTTTCTCATTTCCATGGTACGCATGATTGATAACGATTTTCGTCATTAAATTCATCGATACAATATTGATTTTTTTTATTCAAAAGGTCTGAGTTACGAATAAGTTCCTTAAATTTATGAAAAAGTTAGATGCGAACTGTAGTCTTGTGTTTTCTCTTTGCTTGCCATTGAGTAGAAATCGTAAGAATTTTTTTGGTCACCTCGCTTCGTTCATGTTATTGGCCATGTGTTTTGACTGCAGTCCATATGCTCTGTCGACCGAGCTACCCTGAAGTTATAGGTTTTCATTTCATGTAGCTGGCTGCAAGGCTGTATCAAAATGCAAATGGACCAATTGATAGATTGGACAGCTGAAGACTTATGATGCAGACGAAAGTGAGGTGAAACGATTGTAGACTTTCGACGGTCCCTGCATGAGTGTCACATCTGATCCGCTCGTCAGAGGATTTGAGGAAGGGAACTTGAGGAGATTTGAGAGAAAACATCTAAGAGACAAATGATCAACAGCTGTAAGGTTGGGTCATGTTTCCTGAACGTGGATACGCTAAATACTTCCTGTGCATCCTCAGCAAAGTCCTGGATCGTCGCAAGTACGGTTTTCCAGCGATCCGTTTAATCGTACCTGCTATGTTGTAACGATACTCAGTTTTATGACTTTTTCTTAAATCAGCCTTTAGGGTAGTCAATTTCATTCACTCACCAACGGCCTTCTACAGTTTTGTACTTTTGAATAATTTTTAAGCTTTTGCTTCCCTTACTGGCTTCCAAGAATTTGTCGACAGCGTTTTGTGGGAACGATA